GTCTGTTCATCACCACTGCATCTGTAGCACTGTGTGATCTGTAAATGTTGGGCACATGTTAATTGTCGCCAGATATGTTTGGCACTGCGTTATTTCCTTTTTCGTATTAGCTTATGAACTTTCGTTCACTGCACCTGGGTCACATGCACTTCAAACCTGACTATTGACTATGTCGCACTTATGCCAATTATTGTTGCTTTATTATTGAAACGTTCGCTTCGCTGAGTGCGCTTTAACTGACGATCACTATGACAGCAAATCGTGGATGCTTCTTCCTGACTATACTCCTGCTCATAACGCTCCGGGCACCCGGACATTACTGACCGAGAAAAAATTACTATAATAGAACAGCCCTCATACTCAATTGATATTGCTCTAAGCAACGCTGGTATTAAGGAGCATCGTGGAAGAATGCTTCCAGCAGTGCGACGGAGCGTGGTAAAGAATGACGGAAACCCGCATTAAACCCGACGGGGAATGTCCTGAAGGTGAAGTTATACAGTTTGTTGTTTTCGAGCTACTGGGATTCTATCAGTAATATAAAATATCACTGATAACTCTTTGTGATTTTCCTGCTAAATTAAGTCGCCGTTTCACTTGAAGCCTCTGTACACTCCTTGCTCAGGCTAGTTACGCCTGTCGAAGCGCCACCACAATTCTACCGCAGTAGCTGGGTTATGAGGCGCTGCCGTTTCCATTTTGCACACCTGTCTCCATTTCAACTAGCCCATACACAGCGTATGTATCGAGCGGTGAAGTTGCCTTGTGGCGTGCCGTAGGTTGACTCCAACTCAGCCATCCGCGCATGATCCAGCGTTTTCACGGTGGACGACACTGGCAAGTACACGCGTACCCACATGCATGAATACGTTCGTTCTATACCCATGTGACAGGGTGAGAAATTTGTAGATAGACCAACAGTTGGAAATTTAGTGCGCTCTACCACACACCCGAAGAAGGGACCCATTTGTCCCGCATTAAGAGAGTCGAAGGACCAGGCTTTTGGGAGTTAGCATAATCCAATTTATTTATCATGTTATTCACTTAAACGATGAAGCGGTCCACGCCGACACCATACATTTCTGGTTTAAATGAACCGGATTCGGACGATTGGCTCTGTCGAACGCAAGCCAATACGTACCGTGGCATAAAAACCCAAACAAGATTTTATTGTTAATGTGTTACCAATTCGTGAGTCAAAAGGTTAGTGATTGATGAGTAAGCGTTTACCCTGTGGCATTCAACGCGTTCGAGGTCTGGTATCAAAATGGAGGCGATTTGTTAGAGAAGAGATTTGAACAGAGATCAAAAACTGATGAGAGCACAAAGAATATTGCATAATGGACGCAATGAGGAAATGAAAGGATGAGGATATGTGAACTCTGGGGTCAGAGGCGAACAATGAAGCAGAAACGCTTCACATACAGGTTTGTATAGAGGTGAAATCGAACTAGATAACAAAAAGCGAGTGTGGCTCTCCAAGTAACGGCGAAGTGTATGTGTGGAATGTGTGAGGGCAGAGGGTAAACGATTGGTTGGAGAACAGGTATCACAAAGTGGAGTGCAGCGGGGCACGTCACAGTTGACAAGGAAAGTGAGAAGGCGGGTTCGAGCGATCCACGAATCACATGGCATCAAAGTGGAAACGTTGCGCTTCGCGCTGTCGCTCTTTTCGATCTTCGCGTAGCTCCAAACACAAAAGGATTGCGATAACGATGACCAAGGCAACACACACACAAATGAGGGTGATGGCGATGTACAATACTTTCATGTTGTACAGTGGTTGTAGAAACAATCTGGCTGTCCACCTGATGGGAGAAAACGGATAGGTTGATGAGATAGGCGTTCAAGTCAATCTCAGATTTCTTGAACGGAAATCACAAATTTCCAGAAGTGGTCGCTGCAATTCAATATGTCCCCCCGCTAGTTATCCACCTGTCCTATTGTTTCATTAATATTTGGAAGGTTTCAGCATCGTAAATATTGCTAGTAAACAAGTTTAGTTAACAAGTTTAGAATGGCCTGCCTTACATCACCATCACTGCGAAAATGATAACCTCCGAGGAATTCTATTGGAAATAAAAACACTTGGAAATCACTTGGCGTTGAAGTCGAAACCATAAGGATGAATTGAACATAACTCTCAGCCAACGTCATGCAATGGTCGCATCGCGTGTTGGGGAGATTCAACTCGTCTCTCTCTCTCTCTCTGTGTGTGTGTGTGTGTGTGCGTGCCAAAAAACAGAGTACCATCTTGGAACCCATGTGGTGCTCACTTGTTGAAACGGAAAATGAGTTTGAACAAGTGCATAGGTTTGAAAGTAATTGGTTAGTCGATTTGTTGGGATCTTGAGTCATTGTGTTTATATTCCCCACTAATCGCGACAAGTCAGATGACGACTTTCAATGATAAGCTGCCCGACGCGATACATGTTCTAAGGCATGGTACCTGTGCGTTGAGATCCAACTCGACTGGGCTAGTTCATGGAAAGCGCACGATCATCTTTGGAGCGCTTGCACCATTCCAATGTCTTACCGTAAGACAACCGGTTCCAAACCCTCCCCATTATAAATTTTATCACAAATTGCTGTTTCATGTGTAAGAGCACCTCGTTGTCCACCGTTTTGCTTAACATTACACTGATTAGTACATGGGAGCGGTGGCTCCTAATAGTAATAGGACAATGGTCAGTTCTATTGCGTTATCTCTGCGCTGGGACTTGAGCTGAAGCCCACTAAGTCTCAGATTAACCTGAACGACCAACGTGTATAGTAGGATTATCACGGAGGTAACGTCGTTAGATGAAGAATCATAATGCAAGTATATGTATAAAATGTTTCCAGAAGGTAAAAAGGTGGACAAAAATGCACAGTCTGATCGAAACATATGAAAGACGATAGAGAAGACCTGGTGCAGAGACTAACGTTCGAAAACTGCGGTAGATCAAAGAGAAGTAAGGACCTTCGAATACTGAAGATCTAGTAATTATTAATTAAATAAGTGACGACGAGGGACTACGGCGAGTACCGATGAAGCTAGGTCCTTCAGATAGAGTTTCCTACTTCTAGTCACCGCATAGATGGGCCAGGTGTATGTTAACCAGGTGGTGACAAGCGATTCAGTGGATTTATTTCCAAACAGATACTGGAAGATAGCATGAGCACCAGTGCACGCATTATAGTAACCGAGCTGTAAATATCTTCCACGAGGTCGGCCGATGGCCGAGTAGTCTGCAAGCCTGGTTTGCAACCATAAGGCCACCGGTTCGAATCCGCGTAGCAATGGGCGTCCTCGCGCGACTGGTGGTAGTCGCGTAGCAGTGAAGCGCCGTTACGGCGTACAGCTGGCGATTTACGCGTGGCGGAGCTGTATGCTGTCGGGCACGTCCCCAGTTTGCGGATTGCCTTCATTGTAAAAGTAACTGCGCCTAAGTCTCATCTGCTTTGCAGGTGAGATAAATAAGCAGTCGCGGACAAGCAGCGGCAGCGTCTCAGAGAGTGAGGAGTTCTGGACTGGTCAGCTGGTTCTCCATCAAATACCACAAGAGCTCGTACGACGCTGTGTGAAAGCCAATGTGACCGGCTACAGGGTTACTGATCACTCATTTCTGGAACCAGAGGTGAGTACCTATCGGAAGGCGGATGAACAACCTTGCTGGTCACCGGGTTCTCTGTAAATGGCAAACAGAACACAAAGAAAGCGAATGAGCCACTTAGTTGTCAACGGTCTTCGTAGTCAGGAACCTGCGTGAATCGCCCTGCTGCCTTGCGGGTCATGTTTTTAAGGCCAAGGGCTCGAGGTGGGGTTCGGTAAATCAACCCTCTTCCTCTTCCTCGGCCTGGACAACCGGGAAGTTCACTGCCCACACCACAGATGAACCCTCCTAAGCTTTTCGCTGACCGTTTCTTTTCCTCCTTTTCGTTGTTTTTACTCATGTGTTGTGGCACTCTGCCAGTTGTTAATTGGCCAAGTGTTAAATACGATACAATGTTCCAAGAGCAATGGAGACGACCCTCACTGAAATATCAATAATCGAATCCTACAGCATAGTGCAGATTATCTTTGATCAAAAGATTGACAACTCACCGATTTCACAGGCGTCAAAAACGATAAAATGGCAGTGGTCATACGAATGCGCTCAGTTAAGCATATGCCAGTTCAGCATTGGAAGTAAAACAGACTCAAAAACAACCTACGGGGTCAACAACATTAACCAGTTGTGCGTGAATGGCGACTGGCAGTCTGGGGTGCATTTTTGATGCGCAGAGCAGCTGGATCAACAAAAGATTGAGTGATATCGTCGGGGCCAAATGACTTACCCATCAGCAACTGGGTAAGCTTATGCCAAGTAAATGAAAAATCAGAATGGTCACACAACTGCTAGACAGAATGACGCTTCAAAACGCTCCGATGAACGCCTTAGTCGATACGTTTGCAAATGGACTTACGCCCCCAATGAGTTAGAACGGTACTCAGACAATAATGATATTCCTCCGTTAATAAACGTTGCCAACTAAAACGCTCCCCACAATTCTACACTTCAGGTAGTCGCTAAGGGGGTTCAAATGTGTTTATGCTTCGCTTCAGGAATTCCAATTACCGTTTGGGTTCAAAGCCACTAAAGAGGTTTCAACAAGCACGCAAAGAATTGACCCGAAATAAGTGGCGTTGGATAGTTAAAGACTGTCCATATATATATATATATATATATATATATATATATATATATATATATATATATATATATATATATATATATATATATATATATATATATATATATATATATATATATGCCGAGGCTGAGGTTACATTCTTGATGTTTCCTCACCGCAGCTGGGCTAAATCAACTTACACTTAAACATTTACACAAAACGATAGACCGCCAGTGCTTGTCGGTCCAGTGCTGCTTAGCATGTTTGTGAGCTGTCACAGATTAGGGCATTATCGTCCGCGCACTCCAAGTCAGGATGTCGCTTACCAGGAAGTAGCTCCATACCTTCTAGGTAGTGTCCAGCGAATGCTGACTCCATGACTTTGTCAACTGCGAAGTTAAATAGGAAAGGTAACAGTGCGTATCCTTGTCTCACACCGACAGGCCAACAGGCAGCACTTGCCCGCACACTAGAGACCATATCGATCGATATTTGCCATTCAGCAGAAACCCGCCTACAAGATTCGAGCTCCGCGCTTACGCTGCAATCAATCACATGCGACACTGGCGGCACATTCTCATTGTGCCTGTCTGGCGATGGTGCAACTTCAAATGCCGGTCAAGCTGGCGTCGGCATTGTTTTGAGTCCCCGGGCTGAAGCTGCTCTGATCGATTGGATCCCAGTCAACAGTCGGATGTGCGCCATTAGATTAGCTGGTTCGTTCCATGCTACGAAGTCGCGCGGAAACAAACGGTGCTTGTTTGTCATTGCGGCCTACGTCCCTACAAACTGTAGCACTGATTCGGTGAAAGATGATTTCTATCAGCAAATTCACGATCTCCTTCATTACAGAAGGAACACGGATACTGTGGTGTTGGCTGAGTTTCTAAACGCCCAAGTAGGGAAATTGCCCTTTGACGAGCTCCATCTGGGCGGTCAACATGGTGTAGGCTCCCGTAATGATAATGGTGAGCGATTGCTACAGCTGTGTGAAGATGCTCGCCTCTTTCTCGCGAGCACTAAGTTTCGGCACAGCATCTGGAGAAGCGTGACTTAGTGCCCACCAGCCTCGGGTCATCCATGGACGCAAATCGATCACATCGCGATTAGTTACCACTGGAGAGGCTGTGTCCAAAACAGTCGCTCGATTCGGAGTACCAGCTTGGATTCCGATCACGCCCTTGTGTGTACTGATCTGTGGGTGCGTTTCGGCAGACGTCCGCAAGGTCAATGTGAACGGATTGACAGCAGCCAGCTATCAAAACCGGGTGTTCTGAATGTGTAGCAAAGTACGCTGACATCCGGGCTGAGTAAGGCTTCACTGAACACCGTCGAAGAGCACTGGTCGCATATTCGTCAAACGTTACTATCAGCAGGCATATCTTCATGTGGCAAAGCAAATTGCCAAACCGGACATTGGGTCTCTACAAAGTCTCTGGAACTTATGGATGCTCGCCGACGTATTCCGGTTGGAAGGGAATACAATGAGGCTCGCAAAAATCTCGGGGCAAAACTGCGTGCTAGCCTGAAGAGAGATCGCGAAGCCTGGTGGTCTCATGGTACCTCAGAGACGGAAACAGCCGCTGCCGTTGGTAATCATCGTAAGTTATTCCAACTAATACGGGAAACAGGCAGCAGGAGACCTGGTGTTAGCCAGACGATACGCGGCGAGAGTGGACAGCCGACCCACAGCCGGTCAAAACGCTTGGAGCTTTGGGCCGAACACTTTGCAAGGCAATGTAACCAACCTGAGCTATCGCTTTCTTTTTCGGGCATTGAGCGCCCTTTTCTCTGGTCCGTCTCCTTGGATCCGCCCTCCCGCGCAGAAGTGGAATGTGAGATCAGACTGTTGAAATTGAGTAAGGCCGCAGTGGCAGATAGAATTACCACAGCCCCCTTCAAGTTCAGGGGATTTGCTCTAGTAGATGATTTACACGAGTTATTAGTGAAACTTTGGGAGTAGCAGACTGTCACGACAGACTGGAGCCGCTCCGTCATTGTCCCAATTTTCAAGGGAGGCGCCCATTCGAAATGCGGCAATCACAGAGGGATCAGTCTGATTTCGATTGCCTCTAAATTACGTTGTCTTTCTCCACAGACTGACTGGAACTCGTGAAAGCCAGATTCGTGGAGCAAGCTGAGTTTCGTCGAGGTCGGGGCTGTATCGACCACATCTTTACTTTGCGTCAAATGTTGGGGCACCGCCATGTTTATTGGCGACCCACCGTTGTCGTGTTTCTCGACATAAAAAGTGCCTTCGATTCATTTGATCGATGTGTCCTTTGGGACTGTCTACTGAAGAAAGGTGTGCCTGATAAATATGTAAACATTATCAAAGCGCTGTATGCGCATAGTTCGGGCAGGGTGAGGGTTTATGGCAAACTCTCGCCACCCTTCAGTATCACCAGCGGTGTGAGACAAGGTTGCCCTCTGTCACCTTTCCTGTTCAACTTCGCTATTGATGAAGTCATGGAAACAGCGTTCGCTGGACACGACCTAGAAGGTGTGGAGCTACTTCCTGGTGAGCGACTTCTTGACTTGGAGTATGCGGACGATATTGCCCTAATCTGTGACAGCTCCCAAACATGCCAAATAGCACTGGACCGATTAGCACTGGCAGTCTATCGTTTTGGGCTGTTTTGCTCCATCGAAATGCGAAGTACATCTCCAAGATTGGCAGGGACCCACCCATACGCTAACGTTTTATGGTGATCTGCTAGAAGTCGTTCAGGAATTCAAGTACCTGGGTAGCTATAGTAGCGCCCGTGGGATTGAGGAAAAGGTTACGAGCCGTATAGCAAAAGCTCGAGGTGCTTTTGTCCATCTCCGCCACCTGTGCCGCAGACGCGACATCATTCTCGCCCTGAAGGGGAGTTTATAACGCAACCGTCCGTTCAACCATCTTATACGGTTGTAAAACCTGGCCCATAAGATCGACAGACATAAAGAGACTCGTCACGTTCGACCATCGCTGCCTTCGCAGCTTAACTCATGTCTGGCGGGAGCACTGCGTGAGCAATGAGCGTGTTTGGCGTCGCGTATTTGGTGCAGGAAGAGCTTGTGAACCGCTCAGCACCAGGCTCTGATGGATGGGCTATGTCTTGCGCATACGAGCACACTGGTTCCCGCGACGTGCATTGTTTGCGCGTTGTGGGTGCGATTGGAAGAGGAGCAGGGGGGGCCAAGTGATGACTTGATCGAGAGAAATGAAAACCGTCACTTCAAAGCTGGCGTCCGTTGGTGCATCCCGACTACCTGGCTGGACCCTAAGTAAGAAATAAATAATAAAATACTGTGTCAGCTGCACGCCGTAATGGCGCTTCGCTGACGCGCGGGCTGAGTATACTGCGAGGACGCCCACCCCTACGCGGATTCGAACCGGTGACCTTATGGTTGCAAACCAAACGCGCAGACCACTCGGCTGGGTTCTAAGGACGATGAACAGGTTTGGTTGGACACACTTTCCGATATGGCTTGGAGCCGGCCCCAATGGCGTTTGTGTTGTGAGTTCCTTTGTCCATCCCCTCCTGCTTAGCCTCCCCCTCTAATCAAGAGCTAATTTGTCAGGCATAATATAACTCATTTTGTGGCACGATAGCCGGCTGTTAGCTCTTCGGAACGATGTCCATCCGTTACTGGGGACTCAGCCGGCGTGCCACTGGTTTTTTCTTCTTCTTGTCCTTTGTATTGCGGCAAAATAACTGGGGTGTTTTCCACCTGCAGTTAACGTGTATAATGAATGAATGAATGGGTTTTGTATGGTCGTATGTGTAGGCCATATATATAAATATATATTCTTTTGAACGATTTAGAAGAATGAATCGCATCGATGTCAAGAGAGTGCAGAATGAGTGTATATGTTTCTTGCTAAACGACCCGAAAGAGAAGCCAATGTTGGAAGAGACAAGTGGAAAAACGACCTCGTTCGAGCGTTAACACTTTAGATGATGTCGAATGTGCCATTTCTGAATAAGCAAGAAAGAGCACGTAAGTAGACGATGAAAAAGCAAAACTCAGAAACAAATGGCTACGGTTTGGTGGTGGATTTCGAAAGCCCGTTGACCCAATAATCTGGCCACGACACAATATGAAGCAAGCCCAGCTTAGAAGTGGCCGGCAGCGGAGATTCGCAGACGCCTGCGTGAAGCCGGTCCCTCACACAAGTGCTCGGCAAAGATAGAGAAAATCATTGCAAAAGTCCTGAGGCCGATAACGGAGGAACACAGCGTAAATGCATGCGGCATGTGAAGCCAAGGCAGAAGGTCACTCGAGGTCATCAGAACCGATAATAATGGCGCGCTGCAAGACTTGTGGACATCAGCATGACTTCCGGATGCTAAAAACCAACGTCCATGTTCTCAACAGACGGAATCACGTAAGGAGAAAAGACAAATTGAGTTATTGTGAAGAAGGTAAAACGAGCGGTTACTGTGTTGTTCCCCAAGCTGGGCAATTTGTGTGCAAACGTTTCATACGCAATCGAAGTGGCATCATCAGTGCGTCGGAGTAAGTGGTTTCGTAGTAGAAGCTGGTACAAGGCTTCTGCTATAAGACCGCTTACTTCAACGCATTGATGATGCCACTTCGACTAGGGATGAAATGTTTGTATGCAAAATACCCAGCTTGGCGTACAACGAAGTAAATGAACACCCAAATTGAGCTACCAATATTTCGTCTGATCTCGAAGCAAGGCAAGACATCAATAATACGTCGGTACGCAGCACCGAAGCTTCGCTGCCGTGCAACCACTACACCATTCGTGCGTGGGCTAAGGATAGTGCACAGGTCGCCGGGTCCCCTACGCAGACTCGAACCCAGGCCCTCGGATTACAAGGCAGGCTTGCGATCCTTAAAACTAGGAGCCTAATCTCCAAGATAAAACGTGTCCAGGTAGCGCACAAAAAGTAAGCAGTAAAAGTCAAAAGACGTATGGGGCGAAAGTAAATGTTCTAGATTTCAATGAAGCGGGCTTACCGATCAGGTTGGTTAAGTGGATACGGGTTGACAAAAACTTCGGAGTTGGGTATCAGGGCCGGGATCGTTAACTTGCGCAATTTCTGTGGATCAGAGAGAGAGAGAGAGCCGCAAGCGCATGGAATGAGTGGAGTGAAATGGATGACTTTGTTGCGTAGCAACTAAATGCACACATGTGCTTAAGTCAATCATTGCCAAAGGCTTCAAAATGGCGAGTGAATCACCTATATGTGCAGATCCGTGCTTATGTACTATCGCTAATAATGGAATGGATTACTATATAGATAGCAAACATAACCAGTGAGAGAGCGAACAAATAAAACCCCATAAAGAAATCCGATATCTTTTGGAATAGACACTGATCAAATCATGTAGATGGTGGGTAGTCAGTGGGCAAAAGATAACACACATGTCGCACTGCAAACGCCGACAGATTGATCTGCCGAAAGAATGTTAAGAACGAAGAGAAAGATGAAGATCGGTCCATGTGGCGTGCGTGAAGAATAACTTTCCACCTGGTGAAATGATATCTAAAGGGGGGATGTTGCTTTTTGGAACAACAATGATCAGTGGCTAAGTCTTTGTGAAGCATCCGTGAGGAAAAGAATGCTTATGGCGAGATACTTGATAGTGACTATCCGCAAGCATCCAGCAGGTACACTGCCAGTAGCAGATACTGAAGCTGTGGAGATAAATGTCGCTGGCGCACATGCAGCAGACAGTAGGGAAGAGGCCCTCGTGACACAAAGTTCGGCAACTAGCTAGGAGGAATCGCTTTCAAAAAACACAATTCAAATGCAATCTTCTACTACTCCGTAAAATGTAGAGATGACAAGATCAAAAGTAGCCATCACCGACAAGTCACAAAGCAGTGTAGGCAACGTAAAAAGAAATCGCATTAGCGGGTGCTCTACGACTTGGTTGTTAACAGTATCCAAAAATAACTGCGCCACTCTTTAAAGCAAGCTATGCCAGTGGTTTGCACGAGAGGAAATAAGCTCGGCACTTTGCTCCGCCCACGCAGGATGACGGCAATATTAGATAAAAGATGGGGCACAATGCATGCTGCATTCCATCGGCATTAGGAGACATTTAGAAACCGAGACAAGTGACACGACGCACTGCCTCGTCTGACTAAATGGTAAAAATGCTAAATTTCTCTCACGAATCACAAGCGCGGTTAGACTCTCAGAACGCGTGCATCTGAGAGTGAGGAAATGTTATGCATAAAAATGAAACTGTAACGTGAAGGAGAATCAATAGGAAACTGACATTCAAGCTCATCGCTTGGAATGATTTCACTTGAGCCTTAGTAGGGCAAGGCGAGGCTGATTACAAAGTTGAGCTGTTTGCAGAGATTTGGCTTCAGTCACCGGATAGTGGAAGTTTCAGCAAACTGAAGCAGGCTCGGAGTGTTCTGTATGCTGATAACCCCGAATGCATCACTAACGTTTTCACACACGAATAGAGCGACAAAAGAGTATGCAGCCGACTAGGTCAAAGCGTAGGGTGATGTCACTACGCATTGCTGATACATCAGAGCCATGGACTCAACTTGGATAAACCTCACCCGGTGGTTACCGTCTCAAGCGCAAACCAATTTCCCTGTGTGCTTGCAGTAGCATGTACATCGGCTGAACTAGGATCATGGAACATGTTGCACGGAACTTAGCAACGAGTGGCCCTGAGCTTCTGTCAGTTCAACCGACCAGCATGTGTTCGAGTGCACATTGTACGAAAACTCTCGTGACGCATTCAGCAGACAGAATACTCAGGGCTTGTTTCGACTTGCTGAAGCTTCCACCATGCGACAACTGGGGCCAAACCACTGGAAACAGCTCAATTTTCTGGTCAGCCTCACCTTGCCCTGGTAAGCCGTAAGTCACGCCATCATAGGCGATGACCCTAAATGACACGATTTCTTATTAATTGCCCTATAGAGCTACAGTATAGTTCCAGAGCTCGCATGGCTCCGCGAAACTTGCGCAGATTTCGCCGGGCTCACCCCACATATACAACCACCACGGGGTAGCTCTGTGTCCGTAACAACCGATCCATCGTCAGGACATTGATGCCAAGTCACTGTGAACTAACCGGGCTCTACTCTGGGCATTGATGTATCTAAAGTGCAAGGTGCGGTGAACCCAGTGAACTCTCCCCATGACACTAATGTATCTGTCGTGCCAAACCTCAGTGAAACATCTGAGCACTCCTGAGCACCCGGTGGCAGTTATCATACAAATTCATAGTGATGATAACTGAGTCTTCTTCAGGACACTGGCACTGGGTGACAACTCAAGTGCCCTGCCAACATGCAGCTTCCTCTATAGTTTATGCATCACACTGCTATCATAATGAGGTATAAATATGAAGGTGTAGAAGGCATGTTTCGCTTTGACCTAGTCACCGTCCTTGTGATGACCAGTCCTTGGAATGACCAGTCTATTGCAAAGTGAACCGAAGTCTCAATAGAAATTGCATGTCGGAATCCAGCCACACGGCGGATACTCCAAATTCAAATTCAAATTGCTTACCGCTGTGCCAAGCGTTGACTGTGGATCTAAGGGGCGACAGCCGTTAACCACCAGGCTTCGTGTTTCATCAGTTCAACCCATTTAGATCGGATAAGTCCAAACGAAGACAAAACCGGCTATAGGATGTCATCGTTGGGAGGAGCAACGCCGAAACACCTACAAAAGAACCTTTGCTAACGGCCAGTCCTTATTGTTTGGGTTTCAGTGCAGTCGTGCTAGATTACGCGTTTTTCTAATCTCCAGTCTCAGATCGTGTGTACGGCTGGCGGCTAGGTTATGTGAGGCTACTTTTGCGCATATGTGGTAATATCTTGGAAAAACGTTCGTTCGTTCTAGTTAAGAGTCGAAACAACTAGGGTGCGTTATAACATATATACTGCACGTTATTAAATAGATAACTCTCGTAGGAACACTCGCTGGTAAATCTAAGTATAATAACCTTCAATGGAAGAGAATGACGTGACGCGTACTTATCCATACGATAGACTACAAAAAATGCCACATTGTTTGCAACCAGACTGTAAATACCTATAGATATATTTACGTGTGTATACACTACAGAATTTAGGAAAAACAGCTAGTTATCATCGCCCTTCGATCGTCTGTAACCGACGTAGTGATGCAACAAGACCGAATCAAAAAGGAAACAGACACCACTGCTGACAGTGCTGCGGTTCGACCACAAGTTGTGCGCGAATAAGATCAATAGGGACTGATGTGAGCGCTGTACTACCGGTGGCAATCTATTGAGGTTCGAGATCAGACTCGATAGCCACACACACAGTAGACCAGCTGTCGTAAAAACCGGCTCTGCAAAGTAAACGAGTTATATAGTTCAAAAAAATAGAAAGGGAGAGCGTATGCAGTGCCCACAGTGTGTATATATACAACTATGTGACGAATCAGAGCCGTATGAAATCGACGCGGATACCGAAGCAGCTATTATATGGTCAGCTGAGTATTGGGAAGCGGCATGTGGGGAAACCAAAGTTACGTTAACAGGACACGATTAAAGTAAGCCTCACACGTTCTAATCTTGATTGCAGATCATGGGAATCGAAGGCGGTTGATCGGCATGCATGGCGCGATCTCACCACGAAGGCAGTTGCCGAAGTGCGGAAGAAAGACCTCATGCATGCAGAGAAGAAGCGGCAAGCACCGATGGATTGTATTCCATCGACATCAAGTGCATGGTGCTGTAGCACATGTGGTCGCGAGTGCCTGAGTCAGGCAGGCCTAGTGAGCCATTAGCGAGGCCACTCGGGACCACTACCGAAGCGACGACGGGTTCTGCAGAGAACGTAGGCAGAACCGGCGCAGCGTTTGTAGGTACGCTGCATTCGATTTACTAACCGCGTGCTTGCATGCTAAGTCTCTTTATTTCAGGTGATGGGTTTTCGGTTCTGTCCTAATGCCTTTCTTTCTCATATAAATGTCTAGTGAGCCATGAGCGAGGCCACTCGGGACCAATACAGAAGCGACGACGGGTCCTGCAGAGAAGGTAGGCAGAACCGGCGCAGAGTTTGTAGGTACGCTGCATTTGATTTACTAACCGTGTGCTTGCATGCTAAGTCTCTTTATTTCAGGTGGTGGGTTTCCAATTTTGCCTAAATGCTTTTCTTTCTCATATAAATGTCTATCTGTACTCTATTCCATTAACTTGCACACCTCGCTTAAGCCAATTGTATTCGATTTCCATAAAATTTTTGTGTTCGTGGCATTTCCGTAAAGTATACTTTCTGACCTCGTGGACTTATCTAGGATTCGTTTGTAAACAACTTATTTCATATGCACATTAACTTAAGGTTTATGTCACCGTTTCCTTATGCATTAATCGAGTTATTTTCTTTGTATCTCTCTCTTAAGTGATTGGCTGTTGTTTGATATCCCCGGTGTGGCTACGCTTGTTGTGCATGTTGACAAGGTGCCTACCTGTCTATTACCCACTACCTCGTCCATACTGGCTCCAGGAGACAGTTGGTCGTTGCTGGAGGGGATGGGGTGCACGGTTCTTGTGGCCGTGCTAGGCTCAAAGAGCGGTTCCATGCAGTCAGTGTGGAGCGGACTACGGTCCAGCCACCGCCTTGTGTGCGGTTGATTCCCCAAATACAGCGTGCTTGTGTTTGCCTGTGAAGGAGTGTGGGCCGGCTCCGTTGATGAAACGTGGTTCCCATCCGCATGCCTCCCGGTCTTATTCCATCGGGTTTACACTGGATATGGGGTATGTGGTTGGAGCTGTGGGTGGTGCAGCGCAAGCCACCCATGGTACCTCTGTAGGCGCAGGCGTCCTGTGGCTTGCCACAGTCACAGGCAAATCCGAAACCGGATGCCGCCAACCATGTGACGAATCCGTAAAAAAAGACATCGTTATCAAGGATAAAAACAAAAGATTTGGTGCTGATTCGCCAAAACAAAAGAGCTAGGGGACAGATCGGAACATAGTCAGAGGCCATCAACCTATCAATGAGACACGGACGATTACTTGCAGCAGTGAGAGCAATACTGTTCGCAGGCGATTGCTTAGCTGGTTCATTTCTGCCATCTAGTCAACTCATATCGATTTGCCACATCATCCGCTGAACACGTCTGTCGACTACCCAACCCGGGATGTGCCGTATTCCAACACCGCACTTAGATGAAAGAAATTCGAAGGTGTGCAATCTCCAACATGGCACAATGTTACAAGGAACTTGGCTGTAGAAGAATTTCGAATGACATTCGTCTCGCTTAATGGTCCCCTCGCTGTGATTCCCATTACCATAGTGTGCTCCGTACTCCAAGCCTGATTCTGTGACCTGACGAAGTCAACTCTCTTTTATGTTCATCTGCACCTCAAGAATTTCCATCACATGTTTACCTACCCTCAGTCCACCCACGTTACTTTGAATTATCGGTGAGATTGACCGTTTAAATCTCCACCCCATTGTGCCGTTTGGATAGTGATGCAGAACCCAAATTTGTTATCTCGATACTCCTGAGCAGGACTCACGGTGGTTACATCGTGACCACACATTCTTGGAAGGTTGATATGAGCGAAGGTTAGTATAGTAAACCATTTCGTTCTTGCGCTACATCGTACTTCCGCTCCCCTCGTCTCTGTGCACCGTCAAATCCTGACAATGTTAGACTTAGCGGCTACGGCCATGTGTAACATATATTCGACTGATCATGTACCGTTATTAATTGGTCGTGTAAAAAGCGCCGCGTATTATGATGCCGTTAGTATGCGTATGTGTGTGAATTGAAGTCATACTTATTAGCTAATTGGTGTGAATTGAGGTTACGGATTTAGACTTGTGCTGTATGCGCCTGTGACTAATACCCCGTTAACCAGCTCCAGCTTTCTTATTTTGATTTCGCTGGAAACGCATTAGCCCAAAGCGTACAGGCATTTTGCCGCCTACACTAAACGACATACTGAGTCGGCACGTTGCGTGTATCCTTTCAGTAGAGAAAATTCGATATTGGCAATAGATTTGGTTGGCGACCTTTTCCAGAATGCAGTGGCTGTAATCATCTGGTTTTAGGTTCGTAATAACCTGTGATATAATAAGTTTGATGGTGAGAGGATTGTTGTGTTCTCCGAGCTACACAATCTTGTTTCAGACGTTTTCGTTGCCAAACTAGACAATATCCTCAGTGCGTCTATAGAGGTCTGATTTGCAGTCTTGTAAGCCACTGCCAGACCCAAGTGACTATTGATCGTCTCCTGCTTTGAACGTATGTTCGATTGGCTCACTTGGGTCGGCCAAGTGGCCATGCCTACGCCCTGTCGATCTGGTACTTAATTTCGACCGCAAAAATAAGTACCAGATCGACAGGGCGTAGACGTGGCCACCTGGCCGACCCACGTGAGTCAATCGAAGATACATTCAAAGCAGGAGGCGATCAATAATCACTTGGATCTGGCAGTGGCTTACGAGACTCTGCAAATCAGACCTCTATAGCCGCATTGAGGACGTTGCTTAGTTTGGCAACGGAAACGTCTGAAACAAAATTGTGTAGCTCGGAGAACACAAGAATCCTCTCATCCACATCCCGAGCTACAGGTATTCATAATAATTTCTAAAGTTTGATTGTTTTTGACTACCTTCCAAGCGATTCAGTTTTTAGTTGATCGCTATCAACCTGCATGGCGAGTCGAATCGAAGAAGCCACATACCTAACGCGGTTCGACAACAGCCGATAAAATTGCCATGAACAGGTACAGATGTGATAGATACTGCATTCGAATGTAATCGTAAACCCTTTCGGAGATCTAACTTCAAGCTTGAACTGTAATATGATGACCACACAATGATATAAACTTGTGAGTTCATTTAGTGTGCAAACCGAAAAAGTTGTTATTCTTCTAGAGCATTTTCCACTCAGTGTAGAAGAGCCGTAAACACAGTAGTGAGTGGGATAGTAAGATGGTATTTTTATCAAATGACCAGTGCAAAGAAGAGTTAGATGGTGATGTATTGCATAGAAGAGAGAAATATTCAAGGGGATCGTGCACCTGTGTAATACAAGCGACGGAAGAAACGAATAAACAATTCTAAATACACGTGTTGTAGCAACGAGTGAGCAATTCAACTCACAGAAGAATTCGGAGGAATAGCCACGGAAACTTGTTCCACATAGTTGGCGAATGGGCCGAGACCGTAGGCTATGGAAGGTAGCTGAAGCGCGCTGCAACAGCTTTGTACACCAAGTAAGCCGGCCGATGTGAGTTTGGAACCGCTAGCACTTTCAGTTTCATAGGAGGAGCTTTGACCCGGGACCGGAAAACCGTAGGGTAGGCGACGATCTGTGCAAGAACTGACATCGGCGCAAAGGCCATTAAGTATTGTGATCTGGAATAAGGAGATATGGTGAGAAAATTTTATTAGAATAGATGCGCTCGAATAGCAGAGATAACGGAGCTATAGAGTACGAGAAGCGAACAAAGCGGTACCCCGCTCCGCCGCCAGAATAGCAGAAAACGAGCGCACACATGCAAAAAATAAAGTTAGCTGCGGTCTCCCATACTAGTAGTTTAATAGATGGGCTAAGTGACGGTGTCAAATCCAAACACGGTCAACTTCCCATTTGTTTGGGCTATTCGATTAAAACGTAATCCGGTTGAGTTCCGAATTAGTGGGTTCGTGTGTGATGCTTGATTTTGAACTACCCAATTACAACGAAAGAATCACCAAGCAGTCATTGTGAAACTAACCGTCTAACTGCGAGCCGATGGTATCTAACTAAACGCATGGTCGGGGGTGTAAAAATTGTAGGTAGATGGCGGAACAAAATGATTGAAAGCACCGCAGTTCTACAGTAACGGTAAATTAGAAAAATTTAACGTATGAATGAAGGCTTGTGATTAGTCGCGGGGATTAATCCATATATCCAATTTAAACAGTGTGAGCTCATTCAATTTCGATGTATATCACATTAAAATAATAGATCCGAACATGGGTTACATAAATGTTCCACTGGCAGTCGCTGATGCAGTGGCGCAAATGTCGAGTACATGCGAACTACTTAGAAATAGGCAGCAGTAAAGCCACGAATGAATTTGGAATTCAAGCACGGTGCGAGATCAGTCAAGTACACGCGAAATCATAAAAATGTGCTCCGGAAACTAGAGAAACGAGCAATGCGTTGCAGCAGCTAAACTGAGTATCGCATGAGATAGCGAACAGTAGGTTAGTTACCATCTTGTAACGCTCGGAAGTATGGATGCTCATTTCCCAGCTCAGAACCAGTGGGGAGTAATGAGGCGGTGAGATTAAGCAGGTGAAAAGGGTCCCAGCGCAGTCAAGAAAAGTAAACACGACTCACGCGATTGCATGAGGCCACAACGTGAGGACATTGAACAGGTGCTTGCTATCACTGCATTCAAACAACACAAAAAGTGTTTGAGTAAGATCCGTGAGTCTGAGTCCATCATATGGAAGCGTCTAGGTATATAAATGAAGCTATGAAGTCCAGCATCACTTGGCTGGCTAGCCGAACAACCTCCTCGTGGTGCCAGCTGGGGGTGGTTCGGGTTTAACCCGTTCCAGCAAATAGAACGGCGCAGTGTTCCAGGACGTGGTGGGTTGTCGCCTGGCAAGCGTTCTTCCTAGAAAAAGCCAATGTATGCTTAACACAACATTGTGCCGTGGCGGATGTGACTCGCCACCAAATAAAGTCACTGCCGAAGCTTACGCTGATAAGCTTATTAAATCCACAGACGTCAAAGATTTCTTCAGACACCGGCGACGCGATCGAACTCATTCAAAAGAACAGCAACACATTTACAAACACAAGCAACACACCTACCTACATACCTAGATTTATGGATCCACATCTATGAAAATCCTATTATACTATTGCACATTTCTTGATCAATTGTCGTACTGTTACCATGATCATACATTTAGTGGCGTGTCTCGCGTAGCCGAAAATAAAAATTTATTTATCTATTTATAAAGTTTTAGCTCTTCTCTGATTACCTTTGGATAGTGTGGGTTACCAATACAACGGACAAGTGTGTAGCTTTGCGGTGTGAGTTCAGAAGATGCTCCAATTTAACGCGGCAAATATCAGTGATGAACGCAGTGAGGAGCACCTAGTAGTACCTACTCGGAGAGTGACTTTCGCAGCACACTTGCGATGAAAGCAACCTCGGGACGCTTGAATAAGATAATCTCAGAATCCAAAGCAGCAAGAAGAGGCACTTGGAGCTTAGCTATCTACGTGAATGACAATGCTCCGTCTCAGCGTCTGTATGGCAGTGGGAATGGATCCCAAGATGGCAAGTTCGGCAGTCGGTCGGTCACCAGAATGAACAATAATTTGAGGGGCGGTAGAAAAGAATATCTTATAATATTCCGCATAAAGAGCGCATTGAGATTCTGGTCAAAGGCTAGCTCTTTCAAGATAATCCGCTAAAGTCGATCGAAAAAACTTGGGACCGCAAGGCGAAAGTTTGATGAAGCTGCAGCTACTGAAATGACACAAGTAGTCTGAATATAAAAGTTCAAACCAAAAAAGCTAACGTCTGGACCACCAGCCAAATCCGCGGAAAGGTATGTGCGTCAAGCGACGGGTTAGTATTTTTCGGAAAGGAACTCGATGATTCCACTGTATATTAATATTCCAATCTATATTCTCATTAGACTAAATGATTCCCAAGGGAGAGTGTACACACTATCGGGTAGAAAGAAGTTATATAGCAATCTCATAGCGCTCAACTCGTCGTAGTAGGGTTTCCTGTAGGCCTGGACAAGATGCTGGGAAACGCAGTCTTGTGATTTTATAGTGACAAGAAATGGTTCAGTTGAAACAATAATCAGTGAGATGACAGGACTGAAAGCTAGAGGGGGTTAAAACAAGTTCAACACCTCGGTGACGTTCACGCAGTTAGCAAGGTCAACAATATCGGATGTCAGCCGACGGTGAGGCTCGTTGGGTTCCGAAGACAAACTGTACTGATGCTTCATAGCACACAGTATCCACATCAATTTGGGGTCAACAATCCAACGGGTTCTGGACATACATGTATCGGTCTTGCAACAATACTAGGAGATGACTGACCAAGCAAACCAAAGGGAACAAAGCTCTCCACACACACACACACACACACACACACAAGAGTAGCCCGCTGGTCCTCACAAAAACGGCGCTCACGAATAGTAGTTAGATGCATGCAAGCCGCTAAAGATAGAAGAACGAGATATCACTGGTTGCACAATAACCGACTGGATTCACAGCAAATGATTCGTCATTGAACGTAGACCGATGTGTCAAGGAGAGTGAACAGCTGCACTAGTCTACGAGTCAGATTGCTGACCCGTAGCCTTTCGGATCACAAATCTGCATTGTAATCCGAAGGCGCGGATTCGATCCAATGTAGGGACCGGGCGACCCTCAAAGTATCCTTAGCCCACGTGCGACCGGTGGTGGTTGCGCGGCAGGGAAGCGTCGGTACTGCGTACCGGTGTGCTGCTGATACGTTCTTTTAAGTACCTTTAGCGAACACAACCTGTGGTATCCAAATTCCAAAAGATCCGCAAGGCTGATGGAGCTACAGGAACATGCGGCAGGTCGATTATAGTGGCGTACTTTCGAAAACATTATCCTTACCAGCTACCACACAGGTCTCCAGTGTCCTGCTTAGTAGTTGAATTGAAAACGCCAAAACACACCAACGGTGAGTTGTTATAAATGCCTCTAACCCTGCTAGTATGGAAAACATTGGACTGGTTTTTAATACATTTATCTACTTCATGTGTACATCTAATGACTAATTGATTGCTCTAATTTTCCTCGCGACCCCTCCTTAAGATGTACCAACAAGTACAAGAAAATCGTATACGGCGTATCGAGTTGGTTAAATAGCAACCTGATTCATGTACAAATGAGAGTGATCACTTACTGTGACACCTTTTCGGACTACAAGCTCATACAACATCCACGGACTGACCAGAGTACAGGTTTAACCGATGATCCCAAACATATCGGAAGAAAAAAAATAAATCGTCAGCCGTAACGGCAGTTCGCTGCCACGGGATCACCGCCAGTCGCGCGTGAGCTGAGTATACCGCGAGGACGCCCACCCCTAGGCGGATTCGAACCGGTGACCTACAGGTAGTAAGTCAGAGGTGCAGACAACTCGGCCACTGGCCAGAAAAGGATGGCAGTCCGTTGCTAAAACACATTTGGAACCAATGATACACATGAGATCTGATCCGATACGCTAAACTAACGAATTCGATGTTTCGGTGATTTACATAACTGGCTCAACAGCCAACAACCGATCGACACATAGAGGTTCGCAATATCCGTGCCAAACAACTTCTTATCAATAGGGAGTTTTACAACTGGCAGATAGATTACCGCTTACTTTCGAGGTATGACGACTTGGGACTCATACCCTGAAAAAACCTAAGGGAGTTCAATGAGCTAATCTACACCTGGATCTGAAGTGTACAGATCCCGAAAATTGCATATTCCTTTGGATACCCTGGGAAATTAGAACAATTAATGGATTCAACAAATGTTGTAACGCGTGAGTAGATCCGATTTCAAGCCCGAATTTGGGTATAAATTATTGCCCCTATTTGAGAAAATATCCTACCTGGTTGGAAATAATATTTTATGTCTATCTACTTGATTATATAGCTTGTGCGGATCGGTACAGCAACAAGGAGCCGAGCATAGAGAAGTACAAAACACCAAGTAGATTAAGCTGAAACCTCCAGCATGAGAACTGACAGAGGTAGAACAAGAAAAAAAAAAAGGTGGTAGAGAAAGTCCCGAAACAGATGAGGAGATCCAAGGATACAATGTTGGAAAGGGTCCCCGTCCACCAAAGTAGCCCAGCTCATCAATCGACATTTTTCCGTGTCTCTGCCCTTTATCTGGTCAGCAGATGATTTCATCCAACCTGGCTTGGTAGTAGCAAACATTACAGAAGGGGAGAATTGCATACGACTCACCTTGATAAAATAAAAATCGTTCACCATTTGTTGGACGAGAAGGGAAATAGTCGGAACTCGGTGGCTCATGGTCACTACAAACAGATCCAGCTTACCCTGAAGAGAGAGAGAGAGAGAACGGAAAGGAAACAAGGAGTAAGTCAGTAGGTTGAGTACAGTGTCCCCTAACACTAAGAATCATAAATCGAACGACAATCGCACTAAACTAACCTACCTGATGGAGACACGAACATCTAAAAAGGTAATGAACAATGAATGATTGCTGAAGAGCAAATTTGGCAGGTGGTTGGTACCCGTGGTGCACAGTCGTTAGCAGTCGACTCGCCAGCGGTGGTTTATGGTTGACTTGTCGAAGCGTAGGCGTCAGAACACCGGCCCCGCCCCCCTCCATCAATAAAATGACGTAAGTGTTTCTGATGGAAGTCATGTGGAATGGCTCAGGATGATATGATCACAAATGCAGTGTTCAATGAGCCTCCGCGAGTTAGGAATTTACAATTCATCAACTCGTTTGTCCAATGGCCATTTAAAATCGACGTAAATGAAGGTGTAGGAGCGGTGATATGTAGTTGGAAAAACAGAGCACTTGCACCATACTGCGCTAGGTCGGTACTAAGCGAGTGAATAGCTTTACTCAGAAACAACATTTTTATGGTCATTAAATACTCTTGAGTGCCAGTTCACGGAAGCCTGATAGGGTTCAAAATGTGAATAAGTCTCACAGAGGCAACAGTTAATTGTGTAACCATATTCTTGTTAAAAGGGAGACAACTGACCGACTGAAATGTTTAGTAAAGTCTGCTAAACTGCCTAAGCCAGGAAACCAAACCCAATACTTCGGTTGGATAGATGAAAATGTCTGGGTGCACGTGTCATAATAACCCTTTAGGGAAAAGGGTAAAGCAAAGTAGCTCTCCTGCAACCGTCTATTTTTGCTCTCTCCACCCAATCAGCATTAATTGTGCGGAGTAGCGGAAAATATACGTCCCATGAAGGGTCGCCTGGGGAATGGTACCGCGTTTGCCTCATGAGAAGCTCGGTTTACAGCCGAAGTTGGTTAATTTCCCCAAACTGTTTCCTCACATTCATGAAAGAGCAGTACGGTGTACGCTGCACGGATACACATCATATTGCTGTCGCAGAACGCTATTAGTGCAGTAGGACTCGGAGCATACGTAAACATCTAAGAGAGTCCGATGTTGGGGTTTACAGAACATCCGAAGTGCTTGGATTGCAACAAGTAGTCTCAAGCGTAGTCACGATTTGTGTTAAAGTAAGCCTCAGTACTTCAGAAAAGTAGGACAGCAGCTGGATAGGGGACAATTTCGGTGTCGCTGGCCTAAAAAGAAGTGCTGCATGACCAGTGTTGTCCTCGTTTGGCTTCTTTACGTATTCATAGACGGTCGACAGTTTGATTATTGAGTCGGTGATCTACATAAGCAATGCTTGATACATAGGTTAATCGCGGTACAGCTGCAATCATTCCTATCTGAATAGTCCAAACCAGTCTTGGAGTTTCTTCCTGGAAGCTTGTACTTCGCGTACAATCCCATTGATCGGAACCACAGAGATTCAATATAAAACGAATCGTGGTCAAAACTGGCATCGCCTGTCACTACATGGTGGGGATTACAAAAGACAACAATCAATTCTTAAATGCTATACCAAGCGCTGTTACATCCGAAGATAACGGAGCAAATCGATCCGCCAAATTCATGCACGGCCTGGACAGTTATATGATAGGTTTCAATTATAGGTAGAAATTCGTCACATCTAGGCTCACTTAGACAGCCGCCACACGCCCGGAAAAGCACTGTACGCGCGTTTCATCCTTTCGGGAATCGTCAGCAGTGCGCATTCCATCGGACCCTGGTAGGGCTCGAACCTGCAACTCGACTGTTGCCAGTCCGTGGTTGAGACCACTGAGCTACGGGGGACGGCAACGACCATCGTGAATAAGTTACTAGATGTGATATAGCGCCGCTCACTATCCACCGACTTACACGATATTGCCGTGCAGAGGACAGGGTAGCCCCCTCAGCAAGCGACGAGCTTACCAAACTTAAGCCGCCAATTAACTTATGGCATTGTGAGCAGTTTGGTCTGCGTACTGAGTACAGAAGAGTAGTAGGGGGAGTTGAATTTTATAGGTAGAAATTCGTCACATCTAGCCTAGACAGGATGGGGTACAGATATGCCACCCCTACGTCCATGGGAGCCTTAAGCTTACAAACAGCTGTTTTGGCACACAGAGTGCCGGTTTGATCCTGCTGATCGCGACAGCCTCGGCGAAATGTAGGATGCGGCTGTTAGCATGTCTCAACAAGATTGTGAACTGTGTGGCAGGGTCGAATGGATGACAAGTGGACGATAAATGTCTACCTATGGATGAAGCAGGTGGCTTTCGTGAACAGGTGGTAGACGAAGCGGAAAACGGGATAATTTCACACTGCACCCACTTAGGTACATGTTCCCTTACTCTGGAATTCAACATTCTCTCGGTACGGCCTATGTAGCTTGACTCGCAGCTACAAGTGAATTGATAAATGCAGTGTGAAATGGCGCCGAAAGCTTGTCTTTCCTTCGTTTGGTTTGTTGAGAATTTCAGATCCACAGATCATGTGGATCTACGGCACACATGATTACGGATTCCAATGACCTATTGAGCAAGGTGCTGGCCTAAACCACATGATGCAGCGTTTCCCCTCGAGCTCTGGCCATCAGCTGCTTTAAGAATCCCAAACAACACGAAACAAGTCGTGAAGCACCGTGCTGGGAGTGAATGATACTAAAACTTTATCCCCAGAGAGTTTGCAGAAACGATTTTCTCTAAGAGGATTCAGCTAGTGGCACCGTTGGTTGGGATGAGATACCCTTCAGAGCAAATCGCATCAAACATGCGAGGCTCGATCATTCAGCATTCCGGGCATTGTTCGGCAGCTGATATGTCCCGGCGGGTGCTCCAAAGCTCGAAAATCTACTTCTAACCGCTGTCAAACACTGCTCGCGGAGCTCAATGGCCTAGTGATCATGGCGATAGCCGCCAAGCACTATGCGCCGAGTTCCACTCCCAGCTCGGCTATTTCTACCTGATGAGTCTAAACCAAGACGAAACCGTCGGTCGTGGAGTGCAGGGATGGGAGAGAGCCACACCAAAACCCTCCACTTCGGTGATGGCCCCAGTGACCGTATTGGCAGAGGCTGACTTCAAAGTCCAGCGACGCCACGAGCGAGATTGCGCGTCGCAATCCAAGACACATAGCGGGTGCGCCAAAACCTGAAAATCCACTTCTAACCGCTGTGTGCTTAGGTTGCCGTATGTAATTCCAATTAGGACCTTGAGCTAATATAAGGTAGACAGAGGTCATTTCGATCACTGCGGCCGCATCTGAAGTGGAGAGTTTGTTTTCATTGCGTGATCCAACACAGTAATCCACCACCGGTTCTGGGAAGGCTCCACAATTAACTATGGCCGTGGGTGAGAGTGAACGCCGGAACCTGATGCCTAGCGGTTGATGAGTTGATCACTAGGTCACCGAACTCCGTGGGCAACGTTTAGCACAGTGGTTAGGAGTACCGCCCGCTTTCAAGAAGAATGGAAAAGCATACGATGGCTTGTTAGAAGCATTACGTATCATAATTGGTATTAGTTCATCCCGAAAAAGAAGAACATAAGCTCGATGAAAACGAAAAGGGAATCTTGGCACGCGGGGAAACACGATAAGGGCGGGGATTCTTCGAAGCATTCGATAAATATGCGCGTCGACAGCGATCCAGTATACTAAACGCGCAGATGGAAAATACTCAAACGAGTTGAAAACTGTCGCTTACAATCAAACAAATCATCATCAGGGCGATAAGCGAAATAGCTGGAGAAAGCGTGTTCCACAGATCAAGCTGTAACGCTACAAAGCGTTTGGAAATTAAGCCGCGCGTATCCCACCGGCATATTCAACAAAAGACCAAGTCCGGATCTGAGATAACGGTGCAATTTGTACAAATTCACCGTATCAAAATAGACATTATCTTAACGATTTCCAAACTCAAAATGTGCCAACAATTCGCGCTCCGATCCACGAGCGAAACAAACAGTGGAATCAAAGTGAGAGACACAGGTATTATGGTAGGAATCAAAATGAGCCGACGGTATGCGTCCAGCAATAAAGACGCGCTAAGGCCTAGATCTGATACGTTAGCTGTACAAACTGTAAGCGTCACACAAATCGATCAAATCAATGGGAACAGTCAATGTCAATAGGAGTACTAGTGCATAGGAGTGAAAACGAGGTAAGACGACGTGGATGTGAAATGGAAATGAGACATTAAGTCGCACAGTAAGGGCGCCATGGCAGAGAGCGTTGGAACAGAAAATGGACAAGGGGACAGGTACACGAATGCTTCATGCCGCACGGTGAGATTGACCAACGTAAAAGTAGGCATTTGGCAGGGGTGAGGCTTGGGTGGTCATCGAAAACTCGTTCTACACAAGCATATATTGAACTAATGGAATTGCTACTAGTTCTGTCATGTCATACGACCAACTATAATCGTTCAATTCAACCAGAGACCTTAAGCAAACCGACGAAAGTCACGTAGCACAAACCGAAGAGGTCAATGTGAATGAGCAACTACTCGTCGAATAAGAACTGAAGACCCAAGCAGAGAGATTGTCCTCCATTCAGTAGCACATCAATGATGTCACCTTGATAGGTGGCGAGACGTTAGCAACCCAGTTATCGAGCCCGGTTAATATATGAACATCTGATATCTGCCACGTGGTTGCATCACTACATGCAACCACAAGCGTTACCGGGGCGAAACCGTAGATGGAGCGCAGTGTGTTGGCAGGGACCAAAGCCGCAAATACCTACTGCACTCCGGATGGAGGTTTCAATTGAAACAAAACGAGTGGATCGAAATGAGGGTATAAGATGCAACTCGAACATAAAATTGGTGCTCCAAACGCGACAAGTAGAAACCTCGGTGATCTATTGGGCATTAGGTAATTGGATCAGAATGCAGACAACATCGAATTAAGATAAAGCCGCAATCAAAGTAGCAAGAATTAGTTTGTGGTTAAATGTTGTATAATATCTAGCAGACGCGTTTAGGGCCAAAGGATGTCCAGACCTATAGTTGCAAAAATTTGCTATCTGATTTTCAAAAGGGGTATAATAATAAATTTCCGGATGACGATTCGAAGCAGAACATTGCGACCGTTGTCCAAAGAAGGATACGAATTTTTGGAATGAAGTAGTTTCAGATCGGGGAGAACGTCATAGATGATATTGAGCAAGGAAACAGAAAAACTAAAACACGGCAAACCTTAAAAACGAGTAAAAACAATGACAACGAATATGATTAAGGAGATAATGATGAACCGCTAAGTGAAGATAAAGCAATGGAGAGTAGGAAGGATTGAGAACGCACCTGATCTTGGTGATGGAAGAAGGACACTTGTCGAACACTGTCGCTTCCAGCTGGGAGCTCAGCCCCTGGAAGCAGGGAAGCAAGCATTTTAAGTAAACCGCTTTTGGCGTCGCGACCTTGATTCAACAGAACAGCTGGAACGGTACCAGTGAAAGTGCCAGAGCTAGCAGAATAGGTCAGTGCGACCCCAATATCCAGCTTGCCGTCCAAATCGATATCACCAACAGTTGGGCCGACAAGGGCACTGGTGGCCAGCACACCCGCGGGGGATGGGGCCAATGCCCAGGAGTACTGAGGTTGGACACCGAATGGTTCCCAAGTCACAGATACTGGCGACCACTGACGGAGAGTAAAAGTAAGGGATGATTAACGCTACACAGGTTCATTAGAGTGATTGCGGTTTGGTAAAGAACGCTACAGAGTATCCGGTACCTAAAGGCAATATCACTGTGTGGCTATGAAACGATCGAATTAGGAATGAAATCGATCAAAAATCTATAAAAGTCAGTAAAAACCAAGTTACATAAGCGCTCAAACGAAAATGCTGACCTTCAAATTGCCAACAGTTGCAATCAAACCGCTCCTCCAACACTACCAGCATTGAATGTATTGGACAATACATTCGCACTTTTTAAGTAAGCTACTGAATACTGATGTCACTGTGTTTGTCACACCCAATACCATGAAAAAGAAACATTTTCAAACATTACTTATGTGGATAATGACCAGATCCGTAACGGAGACCATGCCACAATTTGCTAGAAAATAAATTACAATAATTGTTGTCGGTTGGTGTTCCAATGTGTAGAAGTGACGGTGCAGTAGGCTCCGGAGTGTTGCCGTCTTTTAGCATTCTCCGTAACTTTAGAGGCTGTGAAGTATGTCTTTTCAAGACCAGAAACCAACGAATGAATTCCTGGTTCATGAGTAGTAACGTGAGCGTGACGGCTGAAATGGGTGCACGTATTCCGAGGGTAGAAGTTATTTCATGAATCTGCGACGACTGTGATGACAGTAAGGGAATTCACCTTGAGCTTAGAGGTGGTGTATAGAAGATCACAATGAGGACCGTCCTCTTTTATTGGGATGCGAAAATGCCGCATCGATGAGATCTCAAGCGCGTTCAAGGCATTGTAAATTGCTGCCTACCGAGCAGTGCTAGTGTCGGTTGGCATAGGCGGCACATCGTACAGATGCATCGCTGTCCCGCGACCACCAACAGTCGTGAGTAAGCTGAGTATGTCGCGAGGTCGTCTGCACCTACACGGATCCAAACTGGTGACCTCCAGATTACAAGGTAGGAGCGTCATCACTTAAAACAACAGCCGGAGTCAGCATGTTCGCTTTAAGTAAGGTTCGTAACCCGATGGATGAAAGCAGAACGCGCAGACGTAGTGTGAAACCGATTAATGAAAGCTTCTTACTTTACAGCGGCTAAAATGCCAAAACGAAGAACCAGTGAAATAAGGCAAAGTCAGCCTCAACCAACCAAGGGAGCAGCATGTCCACGATCAATACACAAGTGCATTCGTGATAGTTCACAGCTATGAAATGTGTAGACGAACCCACCAGAATCAGAAAATAAGGTCAAATAGTTTGTTGCCGCTATGACACATTTAACAGTTACATATTATATGACGAAATGTTGGAGGTGGGGGGAATCGCGATTTGTTCGTCGTACTGTCCAGGATGTTCACGTGGTCAATGACGCCAGCAATAGCACGTTTGCGGCGGTCTCCATGTCGTATTGCTTATGCAAAATGTGTCCATCCATGAGTTGTCTGTAAGAATGGTCGTGATGAGGAACAGGTAAAGCCCCCCCCCGAAAAAGGCCTCACTGGTCCCGCCGTACTGTAAGACAGAAGTACAGCTCCGACAAGGGCTTCGAAGAGTTGGAGCTATTCGACTGCCTTTGTAAAAAGTGAGTGCTAGTCTTCCATGCAAAGTTTATTCCAAGCGAAAGATGCAGAACCCTGCACAATACCACAGTAACAATCGGTGGTATATGATATTTTAGCTAGAAACATCACTCGTCACTGACTCCCGTAGCGGAGCTGTATGCTATCGGGCGCGTCCCCAGGTTGCGGAATGCCTTCATAGTGGAAGTAACTGGGAATAAGTCCCATCTGATTTGCAGGCCAGATGAATAAGCAGTCGTGGACAATCAGCGACAGTGTTTTTGAGCGTGGGTTCTAGGCTGGTCACCTGGTTCTCCAACAAATACCACAAGAGCTCGTATGACGCTGTGTCAAAGCTAGTGTGACCGGATACAGGGTGAATGACCACTCACTTCTGGTCACAGAATTGAGTACCTAACGGAGGGCGGATGAACAACCTTGCTGGCCACCGGCTTCTTTGTGGACTGCTACCGAACACAAAGAAGACGAATGAGCCACCCGGCTGTCAACGATCTTCGTGGATCGCCCCACCGCACTGCGGGTCAAGTCTTTATAACCAAAGGCTCGGGGTAGGGTCTATTAAGTTAGCCCACTTCCTCGACCTGGGCAACCGGGAAGATCTTTGCCCACACAACGCATAAACCTTCTAAACGCTTCCACTGACTACCTGTTTTCCAGTTTTGTTGTTCTTAACTACTACGTGTAGTGACACTGTCAATTATATATTGATCAAGTTTTTAAAAATAATAATACTCATCAATGACTGCAGAATTGGAGAATGAGAAGAGTGGGTAGAGGAATTAAATGCTAAGCAACGGGTGAGAAAAAAACATCGAGGAGTGGTGTTCAACGTACCGTAGCTGACGCGAAATCATATAGAAAAATGTGGCTGGATCCCATGCAAGAAGAGCTTGTACAAGCAGTTAGTAAAAGGTCCACTTTTCCGTCGGCATCTGGAACGGGAGCAAAACGTTTCAGGCATAAACACAGAAGAAAGTCACGAATAAGGGATACGTGATGAGGGGAAATTGGCACGTGCATGCACTTTCGTCTGAAATCTCTATAAACGCCAACTTCCCTTTCCTGATTTCTATGAACAGATACAGGCACATGGATTCGGTTCAGTACACTTCAGTTGGACAAGTATGATCCGAGCACGAAGTGCGGTGGATCCAGTTACCTCGACTCATATCGTCAGAATGAAGATAAATAACAACGGCAAGATAGTGAGGTTGAATGCAAACATAAGTTAGAGAAAATGGAAACAAAGAAGTGTTGTAGACTAATCAGAATTGAATGAAAATTAACAACCAGTTGCAAGTAACAAGCCGAATACAGGAACGCCACTGACTGTGCCACGTGTAAAAAGTTATCCAACCATTGGTGCGGACCATCATGAGGGCCCCATCTACGAAGACTGCACGCACCAGCCTGACCAAGTCTCTCAGTCAATTTCTGCATGCCTCTATGCCATGTCACGGGCTGGCCAACTCGCCGTTTCGCCCAGCTTGGTACAGCCACGGCGTAGAATGCAGGCCGAGGAAGCCGTTCAAATGGCATACGGAGGACATGGTGTAGTCAATATAAGTGATTAAGATGCGACAAGCAGTCGATTGAGGCATCAGAAGGCTTATTGCCCAAAACCAACTGACGGACTTCAGCATTTCTCACTTGGTGTTCCCTCAGACGAGAGCAATCCTCCGCAAGCACCGGTGGTCAAACACGGCAAAGCGTTTAATGTCTTCGCCGCGAACTGGCCAGGTCTCTGATCCATACAGTGAGAACGGCCTTACGGCAGCGTCACACACCCAACCTTTCACTGACAGCCTGATGTCCCGCCGTCTCCATAGATGGTTGGGTCTCTGGAAAGTCACACAGGCCTTGCTGATACGCGAAGTAACATCTTCAGTGATGTGACCACCAGAGGTGACACAGCTAACAAGGTAATTGAACCGATCCACCACCTCCAGTGGCTGTTGGGTGATAGCACATGGATCACTTAGCGCCAAAGCAGCATGCCTCAAAACGCAGGATCACTAACATAGGCCCCATGGTAAAGCGCAACATAAGCTATCAAAACATAAAGCAACCAGTCACAGGACATAATCTAAACCTGACAATCCAGTGCTAAAAAGCACACCGCTATCGAGCGACTCTGGCCATCAACTTCACTCGCATACACTGTTCGACTGTGATCCAGGGGTACGTAGGCGCTGATCAAGGGGTTTAAACAAATGTCTGCGTCATGGTTAGACACTACACTACAAACCGCACCCACTTCACGCAGCTTAACGGATCAGTCCTCTAAACTTTGCTCAAATCGTGGTATTTCATATAGGGTGGTCCGCTCTCCCCTTGTAGTTTATTTATACACCGAAAAACCTCATATACCGTCCAACGTTATTGGATGCAAATATGCTGATGAGGGTGTCTTGGGATGTATTGCTGCTACAGTTGTGAGACCTCCTCTAGCCTTCATAGTGGCCTGGATGACTTATATTGCATTGCTCGTCATCCACGTCCTTCACACTCGGGACACGTTTAAATGTTGTGAGGTAACATTCATCTTTCCTGTCTGATAAGCTAGAAGCTGTTTTGAATGCTAGCACTCCACAGACAGCGATAGACCATCCGATAGCCAAGATGTCAACTAACAAATAACTGGGGGTGTTTGTATGTTAAAGCTAATATTGGTCTACAAGGTTATAAGGCTTACTTTGTATGTTCTCAGACGTAAAATACGTTGTGCATCAGGGATGATCTGACGTTTACATTTGTGACGGCATGCATTCGACCTCACTGGCTTTATACTGGTTCCCGGTGACTTTTCTTGGATTGTTGTTTAGGAAGAACATTGGTTGTACAGTTGCTAAAACATTACCAACCAACCAGGTTTCCTTTAGAGTTCTAAAATGCTGTCTCCACCCACTACATGAGGGGATTTATCAAGGTATTGTCTGTTTCTTCTACAGACTCTAAACCCAATATCCTATTGTCTCGTATTGCATCTTACCACAATTCTATTCTGCCATACTTGTTGACATAAAGATTATCGTCAGTATGATACGCTATAATTTGCCTGAGCGATACGCGTCCACAGATTGCATTAGACACTTTATTTGTTTATATATATATATATATATATATATATATATATATATTCCTTGCATGCGTTTTCGCATTCGCATTGGCGGTGTAAAAGGCTGAAAACGAGCCTACCCAAATGGAGCCACGAAAACCATTGCCAAGCAGTTCTATGCCAATGCGCTGTGAGATGCTGCCTCACTGCCAAGTAATTACAAGCAAAAGTGCGGAGAAGTTGTGGCCAAAAAGTCCAGCTGCTGACAATGGAAGATGGGTGTCAATAGCAGGTGGGTAAAAGTCCTAGTTATCATAGCAATGCGACGAAACATCAAAGGCGGGGATATAAGGGGGGGGGGAAACGTGTAAATGGGCACGAACAAGTTGCAGCAAACCGGAGCTGAAGTGGGTAATCTGTTTAATGTTCTCAAATAGAATGCAAATCTAACAAATTCGTAGCTGTGCTGTTTGAGACCAAAAAACTAATCACAGCGCAATTTGAAGAGGATAAACAACTCAGAAAATAGGAGGACAAGTAATCTGTGAGAGATTGATGTAGGCCACAACATGGCGATTTAAAATTTTCTAATATCTGAATCTTCGCTCATCAGAAGTTGTGGCAACAAGCGGCACGATTAGAAGCGTTTGAATGAAACGAGTAAATTTATTCGAGTGAATGAAGCTATAGTGTGGTTCTCGATTCGGCGCACATCCAGAAACAAGATGTGGAGCGACAACAGCTAGCATCCATTCGAGGAGAACACAAATAAAAGATGACAAACCGGAGTGTATCACACGTGGCGTCAGCAGTACGCCGCGGGTACGCAGTACCGAGGCTTCGCTATCGCTCAACTGTCACCAGTCGCAAGTGGGCTAAGGATACTGTCAGAGTCGCCCTGTCCCTTACAGATTCGAACCCGCGCTCTCAGATTACAAGACAGGCTGGTGATGCTTAATGATATGGGACAAGGGAGGTTAAATTTACAGAACAGTGATGAGAAGCATGCTAAGAAACAAACCAAGCAAATGGATGGTCATTTCCTCTACCTTGAACCCATCTAGCCGACAGTTATCAAACAAACACTATCGAGTAGGGGGTAACACTGCACGAATCCACAACGAGACATGAGAACACTGATCGAAAAGTGCAAATCAGTGATGAAGAAACTCACCAAAATCACCCAGTGCAAAGAGCCCCAGAATCAATTCATTACCAGTGCTCAAGATGTGTGGCAGATCTATCAATGGTGCGGTTGACATGTCGGGGAGGCCAGGAATGGAAGACAAGTCACGAATAATGAGTTGAATCTTGGGATGACCGTTCTGCTCGACCAAGATAAGCACGTCTGTATGATGGAGTTTGGAATGCGGATAAATGAATGGTACGAAGAAGAGAAGATGGTTATAATGCCTTCAATCGGAAACAATGGGCTATGAAGTTCGATCTCAGATGGCTGGCATATAAAGGCATAAATGCCAGATCCAGTTGAAGAATATACAAAACATGAAAGCTTGAAAATCGCAATGAAAGATCAATCGCATGAACATGGGTAATAGTAAAATGAGACCCATGGGGAGGCAGCGAAGAAGTGTTGCATGCGTTACAAGCTGATCTAAATGGACAAAAACTGGATAGCAAGGATCAACCGTGAAAAAGACACAGAATTTTTATGGGAGGAAGCAGTTAAGCGGTCAAAGGAATAGCAAAAACTCGTCAAATCCAACCGAGTTGTGGCCAACTCCCTTCGGATCCCACATTCGGTGAGCCAATTACAAGGTAAATGGAACAAAGGGATATCAGGACACACAAAGCGGGAATATGGAGTATGGAATATGGAATATGGAAGTCACATGGTAAGAAGCGAAGTGAAGATCCGTCTCTATATTGCTATGGAGAACAAGTTCAAATATCAAGAAAGTAAAGTAAACGCATAGAGCAAACCCTTGGGGAAAGCTGCTAACGAAAGTAATGTGATCCATGCGAAATAAAGAGGTCGTGGACGTTGAAATGCTAAAAGGGGGTTCGATTCCCAAACGAGGCAGATTATCGTGAGCAGTTTAATCGTGACTTCTACTTTCTACCAATGTTATACTACTCACAAAAATCCACAAGTAAACAAACTAAGTCGTATAATATCGAAGAAAAATGTGAAGCGAAAGTAGCATCTGATGTTCGTTGGCGCAGGCAAGTAAAATGTAAATAATCCCTGTTACACGAAACACAAACAAGATGGTTCCGAGTGGGGGGAACGTGTTTCTGCAATAGGAACAGAGTCATCAGCAGCTTTTGAGGTCAAAACCATCACAAACGGTACGCGAGGAGTGTCAAAAAAATTGAAAAGTTGAATCCGAGCACCGGAGTTCGGTGGACTCAGTCAAGCCTATTCAATCGGTCTACGCCACAACCCACCGTGCTTACATTAGCAGAAGAGATTGCTGTATGAGGAAACAAATGATATCCAAGGTCACGGCGCAACAGGTAACGGGACGGGTAGAAACAGTCGTGCTGTCGGCGTTACCATCCATTGTTGAACACCCAACTCGGCCTAGACTCAACGTCTACGGTTGTCTGCAAAATGACAACGCAACAGCGAGCAAGTTTGCCGAAGTTGCGACCCCCAATCGGTGACATCCTACCATATGTGTACATAATGAATAGTAGCACTAAAACTTCCGCGGTGTTCATGAACATTGTCCCCAGCTCACCGAATTGAGGTCTGGTTGTGTATTTCCACTATAGGCAAAGCTCACACTTGCGATGAACCATATAAAATCATACCAAATCCATCTACTCATCAGTAAACCTGAAAACGATTGATCTTCTCTTCCGTACTTGAACGATATGTATGTTTCTAATTAAGAGGCGATCAGATGACAGGGAATGATACCATTTTGCAAGTTTCGTCCTTTCATTGATATTTGAAACATAGAAAGATTTGATGCCCTTTCTGATGAGAACAGTCGATACCCCAGCAGGAGACACATAATTAAATACAATGGAAACGAATCCAACCATATCATGGAGCAAACTACTAAACATCTAAAAGCAGCATGAGATTCTCAGTATCTGGTCGCGCCCAAACCCGCTCGAACAGAAGGCTTTGTCGGAGACAGGAACAGAAAAATGGGTGGGATCCTTAAACGGCAGATATCATCAGTACGAAGCATACCGCAGACTGTCATCCAAGACAGAAATAGCCATGAAATGCGCTTACGTAACAAAAAATCAAACCAAGCGTCTAAGTTAAGAGCAAAAGGACAAACCTGACCTGGGATAGTGTCGTGGTTGACATCGCCAAAAGCCGAATAGCTGAGAGTTGACCAGGAAGGTCCATTGTATGGAATAAGTTGAATACGAGGTTTTGGTCTGGAAGTAGATAACACAACATTCTTACCGACGGAAGTGATGGGGAAATGAAGAAAAATTGTAGAGACATGATGATGGCAACATGAGGTAAGTTTTATGGTATTGAAAAGATATGCCCGTCAGAATAAGTACGACTTACCCACCAAACATGATGAAACGAAGTCCAGTAGCTGTTTCGCCCAGTATATCCGCCACGGAATCAGAATTAAGATCGCATACCAAAGGTTGTGCCGTGAAGACCCCAACGGGAAAAGTGGGTAAACCTAAGGTCGAGACAGTTTGAAAGGTGAAGCGGAAGTGGACAGACATGAAACAGTGAAAAGTAGATTGTGGAGAACGAGAGAAAGTTGGCAAGTAATGGGTTACTGTTGAGCACAGCGTTCCCGAGCGAAAGAGTAGATAAAAGCTGTTAGATATGCCTTTGGGCTGATGTTATTCCCTGCAAGCCCCAATCCCGAGCAAAATCAGAAGACTTTAATACAATGGACGAGCAACTACCCAAACGAGTACAAGCAATGTAAAATCAATGCATATTTATTGGTCAATCCAGGAATGTTCATCTTTCAGAACAGCTGCGACAGCTGCTCCGATTGGCAGTTCCGTTCCGGTAGCCAATGATAGGTAGCTACGCTTGTGGCTGGCTTGCCGAACTACCTCCTCGTGATGTCAGATGGGTGGTTCGGGTGTAGACCGTTTCAGCTAAGTGTTAGGTGACAGTGTTCCACCTCGGTGGGGCATTGTGGTCCAACAATTGTGCTGATTTCATGAGAAGTATTGTGCCCCTGTTTGGTGATCTACCAAACGAGATGAATGAATTGAACATTCAGTCAGCGACTCCTAATGGGCGCGATTCCCGAGATTCACCCCGCTGCCTTGCGGGTTGGTTATTTAGCCAAAGCAGCGGGGTGGGGTCCCTTGAGTCAACTCCCTACTTTGGCTTGGGCAACCGGGTAGTATCACGCCCTCTCACAAAACCATGGACTGTACTACAACGTGCTCATCAACTGTCGTTTCTGATTCTCACATTCACGCGATTTTATCACACGCCAACTGTTTGTTTGCCAACAACCCTTACTTTCCGTTACCCGATTCATGTGTTCAACAATCTGACTGCGATTCCGGTTTCGCCGCGAACCACGGAGTTCAACCTATGGTTCTTCTTCGTCCCCGATCCTCGTTCCGTCTGGCGTGCTTCAACATCCGGATACAGATTGGACAGCAAGCCGGTCTAGCGCGCACCCTAGAGTCCCTCGATTTTGATGTCTGCTGACTTTCAGAAACCCGATTGCAAGATCCCAGCACTGTGCTTATATTGACATCCCCCAGTGACCACGAAGCCAGATATCACCTGCGTCTTTCTGGAGACCCAGAAGTAGCCTCAGTGGGTTTGGCTGGTGTGGCTATAGCACTAAGTGGCAAGGTCGAGGCGGCACTACTGGACTGGTTCCCGATCAACAGCCGACTGTGTGCAGTTCGGCTTCGGGGTTCATGTAGAATCAACAAGCGTCGCGAGGAAAGTCGCGCCTTCTTTGTGATCTCCGTGTACGCTCCGACTACAGTGGCGGATTGGTAAAGGACGAATTTTACCGGGATCTACATCAGCTCTTGACTAATGCTAAAAAGTCGGATTTCGTTATCCTTGCTGGGGATTTTAATGCACGGGGTTGGTCGTCTGTTACCATACGAACACCACCATGGTGGTCACCACGCGTTCGATGAGAACCGCTCTGATAACGGAGAGAGGCTTCTCACATTGTGCGAAGACAACCATCTGTTTCTCTCGAGCACTAACTTCAGGTGTATGATGAAGCGTTCTGTAACCTGGCGTCCCCCTTCGCCAACACAACCTTGGTCTCAAATTGATCACATTGTAAGTACCTTCAGAAGACGCGGCAGCGCACTGGACTGCAGGGCCCTTTGGTCCACCTTTGTTGACGCGGATCATGAACTAGTCTGCACGAAAATGTGCATGTGTTTTGGGGGTTCCGAAACACGAAGGACCGCAAGATTGATGTAAACAGTTTAACTGATTCCTCTGCCCAGGCGAGCTATCAGTCTTCACTGGTACACGCACTCAGTTTCAATCGACCGCAAGACATAGAGCAACACTGGACTTGTATACAGAAAGGGATGACCATTTCCGGAGAGTCCATCTGCGGCCTAGCTCAACGCTCCTTAAAGGCTTGGATTGCTCGTTCTCTGGAGCTGTTCGAACGCCGCAAAGATATCCCAGCGGAATCAGATTGCAACGAGCGGCGCCGTTCTGCCAACTGGCTGCTCAAGCAAAGCCCACGCAAGGATCGCGAGACATGGTGGTCTGAGCGTGCTTTAGTGATGGAGACCACTGCCCTCTCTGGCAACACTCGCAAGCATTTCCAACTCATTCAGTCCACTGGCCTCAGGAAGCCTGGTGTCAGTGAGGTCAGTTGTGAGGTGGATGAGCCTCCGATCACCAACCAACAGAGTCGTATGGACCGCTGGGCTGAACACTTTTACTTGCAGTTCACTTGGCCCCCACCGCCCAGCAGTACAACTTATTGTCCACCCTGGCACGTCCCACTGAATACACCCAGCGAAGCGGAAGTCTGCTTCGAGATTCGACGTTTGAAGCGGTTCAAAGCTGCCGGCTCACACGGAATTCCTCCGGCGCTGTTCAAGTACGGCAGCGTGGCGATCATTAACCAGCCGACCTCGTTGTTCGCAAAAAGCTGGCATGAAGAGAAAGTGTCTTGCTCTTGGGGCAATCAGTTATTGTCCCGATTTTCAAGAAATGCGCTCGCATTTCATGTGTAAATCATCGCGGGATTAGTCTTATTTCGGTTGCCTACAAGCTATTGGCATCCATTCTTCTCCGTAGACTAACCCTAATAGGTGAACCATATTACGGTGAAGAACAAGCTGGTTTCCGTCCCAGCTGCGGATGCGTGGATCAAACCTTCACGCTCTGCCGACTCCTCGAACATCACCACATTTCTCACAGGCCGACTATCGTTGCATTCCTAGACATACGTGCGCTTTGGACTCCGTTGAGCAACCTGCTTTGTGGCGTTGCTTGTTAAAGAACGGGGTGCCAGAGAAATATACCGCCATCTTATGAGCAGTTTACCTTCATATATCCGGAAGAGTGAGGGTCTATGGCAAGTGTTGTGTGCCTGGTTCACCCAGCTGCCTCAACAGAAAGAACTCGCACCGGCTCGGCACACAACTGCTCTATTCCCAAGTCTGAGGCAAAGTACACTTAGCTGTGTTTAAAAACGCACTCGTCCGCTTGATCGGTCGCCTGATCGACAGCACTGAGGCAGGCGATTCCTTTCGCCCCAGCTTTTAGTTACCATCACATCTTTGTTGTCGCAATAAGTTCCGTGCGGTTTTCCGCTGCGCATACGCTTGCTGTCTCCGACTGAGGTTTCAGGTACCCATTCTGTTTGCTGCTGCCGATCCTCGCTTTGCGGACTCCGTCCACGATGTGCTCTCCTAATTTGCATCCGATTCTGTCCAATGATATTGCTCCCTATCCTGACTTCGTAGCTCCTTTCACCCCTGCACCCCTCACTCCCCTCCGCCAAGGTTCTCCCGAATCTGGTATTGGTTACACTCAGTCTTCTTCTCCTACAGCTAAGTGTGGGAGGCATCGCGATCCACGATCATAGTACTTCTTTTGTTTTAGCATTCTCTTCCGTAGTCGGTTATGCACAGAAGCATCCGGTGTTATCTCGGGCTATAGCAGCATTGTAGCGACGGGTAGCAGCGTTCTTGTTCTATGACTGAATAGTCGCTGCATCGGACTTATTCCGATGTCGGTAGACGGCGTATTTCTTCGCTCCAACAGCATTATGTAGGGATCTTCGTGGGTCTCCTTAGCTTTGGTAAGTAATTTCTTCACCGCTGACTCAGTCTTCCCATTTGATTGCCTGTGGTACGGACTGATGGGCCGATGCCGAAAATCCCACTTCTTGCTAAAAGCGCGGAATTCTGCACTACTGAATTGCGGCCCGTTGTCGGAAATCACCACTTCGGGGATTCCATGTCGAGCAAATTGACACTGTAACTTGTTCACTACGGCTTGCGCGTAGGTTGTCGTAAGGGTATCAATCTCGAAGTAGTCACTGAAATAGTCGACCACAATCAAATAGCTCTTCGCGTCATGAACAAAAATGTCCAATGTGACCATTTGCCAGGGCCTATCCGGCACGTCATGAAGCATCATAGGCTCCTTCGGCTGGCGTACACCGTGTGTCCTGCATGTTAAACAGTTTGACTAGTCATTCTTGTCCAGAACACAAGCTCACGTGCTCTTGCCACGCAATTGTTGAGTCACAAGTGTGCATAGTGTACCATCTGCAGCACTGAATGTTGCAATGCCTTCGGAACCACTATTCTGTTCCTCTTGAATATTAATCCGTCTTGGGTGATGAGTTCGTCGCGAAAATGAAAGAACGGAGTTAACACTTGGGGCAATTTTTTCTTGTCTTCGGGCCATCCGTCTATTATCGTCTGAGTCAGTAGCATGCACTGTTCATTCTCCTCCGTGCACCGTTGAAGCTGCTACGAACGTTCCATAGTGACCTCGAGCAGCTGTGCTGCGTGGACAAAATCCGGATCTTCTTCCATTTCTGGTGTGTCTGACAGGTGCGCCCTTGACAACGTGTCCGCAATGTACATCTGGGATCCTGGTCGGTAGACTATATCCAAGTCATACTTCTGCAGGCGAATGAGCATCCTTTGCAGGCGGCGTGGAGCGACATTGTGTAGCTTACAAGCGATGGATACAAGTGGCTTGTGGTCAGTGAAGACAGTTGTTTTGCGGCCGAAAGTATAATCGTTGAAGCGTTCTACGGCGTAAACCAGCGACAGCATTTCTTTTTCAAGTTGTGTGTATTGATGCTCGGCCTCTGTGAGCGTGCGACTGCGAAAATCGACAGGCTTGCCGCTTTGCATAAGCAGATCTCTAATGGAGTATTGGCTACTGTCAAACTGAATCTCGAGTGGAAGCGACAGATCAAAGTAGACAAGGACAGGCGCTTTTGTAATTAATTTCTTGTTCTTCTTAAAGGCATTTTCTTGTTCAGATCCCCAGTGCAAAGCTTCAACCATATGGGTCAACTTTCAAATCGGTATCATCACATCGGCCAGTCGTGGAAGGAAACGGCTCAAGTAGTTGACCATTCCGTCTAGCCTGCTAACCGTCTTTGCATCTGCGGGGGGAAACATCTCGTTTATGGCCCTGATATTTTCTGGACCCGGTTTCAACCTTGTTGAACTC